CCACATTTACTGACTACATGGCCAGTATCAAGGGCAGTACCATTCAGCCCAGACTTTTTTTGTTCCCATCTGTTGTAGAAAGCTTCCAGGTTGTCTATGAAAAACACTTTGATGTTATCCTCTTTTAATACCCTTGTGTTTTAGTCCACAGATTTTCCTCATTGGGCATACCCAAAAACACTTCCCTGTTTTTATACTGCTTGTAGCTAGTTCTTGGATATCTGCACAAGGGGCGTGACACCAATTTCCCCCAAAAATGACAATTTATCCATGTGGGAAACCCCCTTTGTTTGATTGCTGGGGACTATACAGAGCTCATAATGATTTGAGTTTGGGTTTATTTACTGTAATTCTACTAGCAACCTCTTGAATACTCTATTAATAAAACCCCCTTAAATGAAGCTCTAGCTATTTGTATTTCTATTTCTAACAATTGGACAGCTTACCGTGTACGTTCCTGATTTATATTTATTGTTTGTGTTGATAAAGGGGGCCTACAACCCCATCCGTTTACAGTCTGCTTATTGTCCAACGAAACCGTTGAAACCAGTCAAGGGTTCGGACCATCAAGGGTTCGGACCAGTCGGGGTTTGACCAGTCGATCTGATCTGATCAGTGGGTCACTTATTTAAAACATACTAGTCGGTGATTTGGGCTAAAACCATGAAGGATCTACTTGAAATTATCCCACCCGAGTAATATGTGATTTGATTGAATACAAAAGTATAACTTGCGTGTTGAAGAGCCCGTGATTTCTGGCAGCTCCCCACAGTGACGAACGGTCGAGCCTCAACCCTTTTTTATCAATCGCGTATCTAGCTTTTCTAGTTTTTTTTTTTTTTTCGTCAACCCACAATAAATGCTATATTATCAAATATAGTTGACTGGTGGAAATTTTGGAGGAAGGACGCTTTTTCTGTAGTAATAATTGCTTTCTCGTTGTGTATATTGCGACCGCTGGTAACTACAGGTTATATGAAATTCACAGTATACGTCTGGTATTTCAAGAAAAAAAAAAGAAACTAATGAAAGTCACTCCACTCCACTAAGTACCATTATAATACTGGTTAGTTTTCTACTACAACACTGTATTCTGCTATTCACTGGTATCACTAGATTATAATGCGAGTACACTAAAGGCCAGAAGATTATTAAAACAGCTGACCACTGTGGTAAGATTTCTGCGACTTCTGGCACCTGCCTCTAGCTTATCACTTCATTTACAAATTCACCTGTTTTCAAATGACACTTTAGCCTTTATCATCTATATACTAGGGAGCCACTGTAGTATACACTATACACTGTATACACAATGTTATCAGGGAGACTTTCTTTCCTCTGACAAAGAAAAGTTCTATTATTATTATTTTGCACACGGAACACAGGCCTATGATTCCCCTCTGGCAGTAAACTCTGCTAGGTAGTGCACACTAATTCTCCTTTTTTGACTCGGTATATAATGTTTTCTGCCCAAGATTGGTTCCAGGCGCTAGAGGGATGTATCGTATAGGATTGATGGCACAAATTAAAGTTCTAGCTCGTAAGAGCGACCGTGTAAACACGAGAAAACCCGGAGCACAACGAGGCACGCGGCACTGCTCCACTGGCCTGTTCCACCATCAGCAGATCCTCCACGAAAGTCATAAAACTCCTATAATACTGAATCTAAGTTCAGCATAAGAAAATCCCCAACTGTGATAATACACAGATACCAGTACAACGTTAGGTCAGAAGCTACAGCTCAGGACATGAGATGCTCAAAGTGTCTATGCGACACACAACCTCAGTATAACGTCGAAAATCACTAAGTCTATACAATGTTCTGTGAACAGAGTTCTACAGAACTAACAAGAATAATGAGACAGACAATCTGTCCGACCACCAAGAGAGTCTAGACCAGACTGAATACTTCAGGCGAGGTGAGGACACCCCCCCCTCGATCACGTGATAGCTCCGTGGACAGTACTGCCCAGCAACAGAAGCCGGCAGAATAACGAGCAAAGAGCGATAATTACAGTAGTTAGACAATCAAGACTTGAACTGAGCACATAATATATTACATCCTACCTAACAAAGGAAGCTACGTCAAATAACAATATAAAGCAATACATTTACGATTTAGCTATTATCGCAAATATAAGCAATATAAAATTAAATGAAAAGGTAATAATTATATATATACATAATAATCATTGCAACCCATTCAGGGGTTGCAACAACCACTTTAGACAAATCATAAAGGAATGGGAGGTACAGGCCTCTTTGGACAGATATGTTGTGCGACAGAGGTCCAGTGACTCTCAAGCTGGTCCTAGTGGCATTAAAAGAAGGGAAGTAACCCGGAAAAGGACTTGATACCTCAAGTCCTAATGGAAGGGGATTCCCCTTCTAAACATTAACAACTTCCACACACTCCCCTCCTCCCATCCCATCAATCATCACCAGATCTTCAATAAAGGTAAGTGTCAGTTTGTGTGTATTAAAATTAATATTTCATGTGGTAAAAAAATTCTTTTTTTCATACTTTGGGGTGTCTTGCACGGATTAATTTGATTTCCATTATTTCTTATGGGGAAAATTAATTAAGCTAACGATAATTTCAGCATACGATGAGCTTTCAGGAACGGATTAATATCGTTAGCTGAGGGTCCACTGTATATAGAAAGCCCCTTGTTATGCAGAACATTTCTGGCAAATTAGGTCAGTTTTGTTCCAGGATGCAACCCACATCAGTCAATTGACACCCAGGTACCTATTTTACTGATAAGTGAACAGGGACAGCAGATGTCCTAAGGAAACACGTCCTAATGTTTCCACCCATGCTTAGGGTCGACCCCAAGACCTCAGTTTGTGAGCTGACTGCGCTAGCAATTGAGCTACTATATTAATACATGAATAATGGTAAAAGTTTGACTACTTTGTCCTGTTATATAACATACCTGATGTGCATACTATATTTATATAACCTGGATTATACCTGGAGAGGGTTCTGGAGGTCAGTGCCCCTGTGGCCTGGTCTGTGACCAGGCCTCATGGTGGATCAGGGCCTGATCAGCCAGGCTGTTACTGTTGGCTGCACACAACCTGACTTACAAACCACAGCCCAGATGGTTAGGTACCGACTTTAGGTGCCTGTCCAGTGACTTCTTGAATACATCCAGGGGTCTATTGGTAATCCTTATGTATGCTGGTAGGCAGTTGAACAGTCTTGGGCACCTGACACTTATTGTGTTGTCTCTTATTGTGCTAGTGGCGCCCCTCCTTTTCATTGGGGGGATGTTGCATCGTCTGCCGAGCTTCGCTTTCATAGAGAGTGATTTTCATGTGCAAGTTTGGTACTAATCCTTCTAGGATTTTCCAAGTGTATATAATCATGCATCTCTCCTGCCTGCATTCTAGGGAGTACAGGTTCAGGAACTTCAAGTATTCCCAGTAATTGAGGCATTTTATCGCAGTTATGTGTATCATGAAGGTTGTCTGTACATTTTCTAGGTCAGCAATTTCACCTCCTTGAAAGGTACTGTTAGTGTGCAGCTATATTCCAGCCTAGATAGAACAAGCGACCTGAATAGTGTCATCATGGGCTTGGCATCCCTAGTTTTGAAGGTTCTCGTTATCCATCCTGTCATTTTTCTAGCAGACATGATTGATACAGTGTTGTCGTCTTTGAAGGTGAAATCCTCTGACATGATCACTCCCAGGTCTTTTACATTGGTTTTTTGCTCTATTGTGTGGTTGGAATTTGTTTTATACTCTGATGTAGTTTTAATTTCCTCACATTTTCCTTATCAGAGTAATTGAAATTTCTCATCATTGAACTTCATGTTGTTTTCTGTGGCCCATTTAAAGATTTGGTTGATGTCCACCTGGAGTCTTGTGGTGTCTTCAATGGAGGACACTGTCATGCAAATTCGGGTGTCATCTGCAAATTAAGACACGGTGCTGTGGCTTACTTCCTTGTCTGTCAGATATGAGGATGAGGAACAAGATGGGAGCAAGTATTGTGCCTTGTGGAACAGAGCTTTTTCACTGTAGCCATATCAGACTTTACTCTGTTTACTACTACTCATTGTGTTCTATTTGTGAGGAAATTATAGATCCATCTACCAACTTTTCCTGTTATTCCTTTATCACACATTTTGTGCACTATTACACCATGGTCACACTTGTCAAAGGCTTTTGCAAAGTCTGTGTATATTACATCTGCATTTTGTCTGTCATCTAGAGCATCCAGTAGTTGGGACAGACAGGGGCGACCTGCTCTAAACCCATGCTGCCCTGGGCTGTGTAACTGATGGGTATCTGATGTGTAACTGATGGGTGGCAATGTTGCTTCTTAGAGCCCTTTCAAAGATTTTTATGATTTTTGTCTAGTTTTTAAGTAAACATTAATGTGAAATATATAGCTAGTGTTTTGACAGTGCTTTGTAAGGTTACTATGGATTTATCTTTTTTGTACTTTATAGGTTGAGAAGACCTGGCAGGTATCTTGAGTAGTGTGTATGACTAGAAAAATATGCACGTGAATAGAAGATGGGAATATATTATAGGCGAGATAAGAGAACTGCCAGTTAATTGGAAGGAATTTACGTTAGTATGTATAACAGCTATTGTCTTTAGGGATCCTATTAGAACCAGGAAGCTTGTGAGTAAGGGTTTCCCTTACTTTTTGTGTTAAGTTTATCTATGGAGATTTTAATATGATAAGTAGAGCAAGGGCCGTAGTCTCCAAATGTCAGTCTCCCATCACATACCACTTCCGCCCACTAGGACTGTTGTCAGGCTGAGCCATTTAATCAAATTCATGTTGAACTAAATGGCCATATAATTTTCAAATAGTGCCAAAATTTTGACATCATAGTATTCTGAATATGACTAAAAGTATTCCACTGTATTTTTGATGAACAGATTTCGACGATTTGTTATGATGGTAGCTTATTCAAACTTAGTGCGTGTATTCTTTGAAAATCTACTTATGATATTCTCATTTCTCTTGACAGCTTCAGGAGAAGTTAGAGCAAATTCACATTGCTCATGCTGAGGCCTCAAAAGAACTCCAGTCTCACATATTACAGTTCTCCACTATGATCAAGATATGGGGAGATGAATTTCAAAAGGTATTTAAGAATATCAAAATCAAATTAAATGTTTATTTATAAAAAAATTAGACATTGGTGGGGTACATAGATGTGTGTATATATAGTGTATAACAATTTTACATTAACTATGATAATCTTCATTTTGGACTCGGCTGAGAAAAATAATCTACAACTCTTGAAGGTTTAGCACTGCCTCATCATTATGCTACTTCAATAAAGATTTTAATAAAAGTTAACCACTCATATCTTGTCTAGATTTAAGTAGTTATTATGTACAAGGATTAGTCTGCCCGACATGATAGCAGCTTTCTTTGTACTTGGCAAACCAAAACTGTAATTACACATTGTAACTTTTACAAAGAAATAAAATCTTTACCTTTTATGTTTACTACTGAGGAAATTAATTAATCAATAATTAATAATTATTAATCATCAGGATCATGTGCTGTATAAATGAGATGTGTTCTCAACTGTGCCTTAAAAGCATGAACAGATTCCTGATTGTTAAGACACTGACAACCTGTTGAACAATCTGTGAACTGCCTAAGACATGGATCTATCTATGCTGATTTCTTCCCAACAGCATAAGCTGTTCAACTACATATAAGTTTTGAATTTTAGATTTTAAGAATTATGCAGATTTCAGTTTGGGCTATATGTTTTCATAGTAACTTAATATGAATTTATCAGTACGGCATTTGAAATCTTACGCAGTATGTGATAAGCTATATATATAATTAAGTGACATATTCTGTTTGTGATGGAATGCAATTTAACACATCTTTATTTCAGTAGTTTCTTATATTGTACAATATTTATGGATCTGCAAATGTATGGAGTATTTCTCTTCAATCCAGGAACTTGATCAGCGCTACGGTATTGAAAAAATGAAGGTGATAGAAGACTTGCAAAACCCTCACAAGTTACAAGGACCACTGATAAAAGGAGTCCTAAACACAACGGTGATGTTTAAAATACGTCTTTATTAACTTTGAACTACTTTTGATATAGAATAAGCAGTGAGAAAAGACATGTATCAATAAATATCTAGTGTGTATTCTAGTAGATTAATTAGATGTATATTCACTTGTAACCTTCCTACAGGAGGCCCCACTATACAACAGGTCAGGTTCCAGGCTACTTACGTAAAGCAAAAATCACTGCAAAGGGAATCATACCTTTTTTCACTTTCAAATGCATATAAAAGCCTGATAACATGTTTACACTATCATATATTAAGTGAACAATATAACTAGGCCTAAAAAGTGCATAAACATTGCACACATTACTTACCTTAAAATATTTTCATCCTTAGCTTACAGTGAGATTATATTTATTGTAGGAAGTCTGAATAAATGAAGAATGGTATAACTGAAACAGCTGTATTAGCGAAAACATTGTAAAGCGAAGCACTGTAAAGTGGGGCCCTCCTGTATACATGTTGATTTATTGTGTATATACTGTGTATCCTTATAACTAGTTTGATATACAGCATTTTTCTTATGCTAACATTTTATTGGACGTTGGTATTATACAGGTGCTCCTCGACTTACAATTGGGTTACATTTCGACGAACCCATTGCAAATTAAAAATGTTGCAAGTCAAATACGTATGATCTGCTAAATATGTAAGTAAATATATAACTACTGTCACTAACTAAATACCAGTATTGAAAAGTAAATAAATGAATACAAGTTATGGACTTGCCAGATTCATGCTGGGTAATTATCTTAAGTTTCATCTCCCAAAGTTATTGCTTTCGCATCTTCATAAAGTTGAATTATCCTAAGTCGAACTATCATAAGTTGAGGAGCACCTGTATAATGGTCAGTGCTGATAAATTTACAACTAGACCTTAACTCAGATCTGGGTATTTATTTTCAAAAGAAGTTGCTATATGCATAGTAAGGGCATAATGTACATAATATAACATCTTACAATACCCATATTAGGCTTAGCTTTTTGGTCAAGTCTTTAAAGAATAATATGCTACTGTAGTCTTAGTGTTTATACAGTGTACAGAGGGATGGGGGGTAAAAGAGGTTCTGTATGTAAGGGGCTTAGGCTTCCAGAAAGTGTGTGGGCATGTTAGGTAGGAGTGAGTGGAGGCAAATAGTTTTTATGATGTGCTGTTGGAGTGTGAGCAAAGTAACATGAAGGGATTCAGGAAAACTGGTTAGCCGGACTCGAGTCTTAGAGGTGGAAAAAAGTAGTGCCTGCACTCTGAAGGAGAGGTAAAGATATGTTGCAGTTTTTAACTGTAGCATTGGCATGCCTCTGGCAAGACAGTGTTGAAGCGAGTGATGAAAGTGTTTCTCCTTTTTTGGGTCACTCTGCATTGATGGGAAATAGCTGATGTGTTAAAAATAAAAAGCATTCAGAGATCAGTACTGTTATTGTGTAAATAGTTAAGATGAGGATTATATAGATGAAAAAATTACTAAATACAAAGAAAGGTATTTTGAGGCAGGAAGTGTAACAGGTAAATTACAAGGCTGAGGGTTTTTGAAGGGTAGGGGTCATCCTGGGAAAGGATGGAGGGGGGTTAAAGGAGGTTTTGTGTGGAAGGGGCTTAGATATCCAGCAGGTGTGTGTGTTGGGAGTGTGCAGAGGAAAATGGTTTTTGGGACCTGATGAGCTGGAGTGTGAGCAAAGTTACGTTCTATGAAGAGATTCAGGGAAACCAGTTAACCATACTTAAGTTCTGGTAGTGGGAAGTACAAAGCCTGCACTCTAAAGGAGGGGTGGGGATATATGCTGTTTGGAAGGTCATCCGAGCTGTCGTATCTGTGCGCCTCTGGCAAGACAGTAATAGTATGAATGATGGTGAAAATGTTTCTTTTTTAGGTCACGCTGCCTTCATGGGAGATGAGCAGCATGTTAAAAAAAAATACTGTATGAAATAGTCTAAATAATACAAACGTGATTATAAAAGGAATGAACATTTAATTATGAACATAGGATTTGCCTGATAGTAAGCTGTTAGAGGACTAGTCAGGTTTATTGCATTGAACAAGTTTCTAGTTGTATCTGTGAAATTGCAACACTGTTTAAAAAGAAAATGAAAGTCAGGAATTGTTATTCAACAGGAAGATTCGAAATCTGAATTGCCCAGTAATTGTTTACCTCTTAGAAATTAATTTTTGAAAAGTAGAACATTGCATTTTACTGACCTTAATCTATTTCATATATATGCAGGTGGCTTCATTAGCATCAGGTGTAGGAGGAAAAACCATTACAGAAATGAAGATTCTGTATATAAAGGGATTTCAGTTAGCGAGGATTATTGCTGAAATATATGAGGTATTGTACTGTTCTTGATCCTAGTAAATTGCATTTATTGTATACAAGTGCCATAAATAGTGGATACTTTAAAATATAGGACACTTGAGCAGAGCTCTGCTGCTGTAATTTGGTATTTATACCTAGATTTCTTCAAAATGATCTTTACATCATAAAAAATACTGATCAATTCTTGAGACTGCAGTTCTGGTGTAGTATCTTAACAGTCAACTTGAGAATAAGCAAATGAGTACATCAGAATTGAGGGGGATAAGCTAAGATAAAAAAAAAAAACAGTATTTAGATTACAGGAGGAATGGAAAAACAAGGGTTATCATAGATTCATGACTGTATGAGTTTGATGCTCGAGTTTGGTGCTCTTGTGGCTTTAGTAGGATGTACAGTGTCTGCACTCTAAAGGAAGGGTAGGGATATTTGCTATTTGGGGAGTCATCTAAACTGTTGTATCTGCACATCTCTGGCAAGACAGTGATAGTGTAAATGATAGCGAGTGGTTTTTTTTTTTCGGCTCATTCTGCCTCGGTGGGAGACAACCAGTGTGTTAAAAAAAAAAAAAAGAAAAGAGAGAGAAGTTGTAGAATTGGTCACAAGTTCAGAGCTATTGAAAAGCCCCCTAGTTATACACAGTCTTAAAAAAAACTGTACAAAATTTTGTTGAGAGATTATAAACCTTGTTACACATTAACATTTTATATATGTTAGTGTGAGCAAGATAACATTTGTGAAGGGATTCAGGGAAACTATTAACCAGACTTGAGTCTTGGAGTTGGGAAGTACAGTGCCTACACTCTAAAAGGAGGGGTGGAGATGTGTTGCAGTTTTGAGCTGTAGTTTTGACATCCCTCTGGCAAGACAGTGATGAGCGAGTGATGAAAGCGTTTCTTCTTTTTTGGGTCACCCTGCCTCTGGGAAACGGCTGATGTGTTTAAAAAAGTTAATACAGTAAAACCCCCACATCCACAGATTCAGTTTGTTATCCGCAGTTTACCATGGCCTAAAAATGAACCTTAATTTTGCTTAATAATGGCCCCAAAGCACAATAGTAGTGATAGTGGTAGTTCTTCAAAGCCTGAGAGAAGCCACGAGATGCTTCCCATTGGTGAAAGTGCTAATTCGTCACTTATTGTGCATAATTTTTCAATTAAAGTTTATCATAGGTATGTATGTAAACGAAAAATAACATAGGGTTCACTGCTATCCACTGTTTCAGGTATCCATGGTAGGTCTTGGAATGTATCCCACACAGATATGGGGGATACTGTATAGTATTTGTCTTGGTTAATACAGAAATGGAGTGAAGTTTTGTTTGTAAAATATGATATGGTAGTGGTAGTGAGGCACTTTACCAGGGATGCAGCGAGAACAAAGGGTCATGGTTGAAAAATCACGCACTGAAATAATATGCATAAATATCAAAAAAAGGCTTAACATGAGCGATAAAGTTGAATAAACTGATCAGTGAAACATTGGAAAAAGAACAAAGTCACAATATACAGTGACTGGAACAATGCACAAATAATCCGCACATAGGAGAAAAAGAAACTCGTGATGACATTTCAGTCCAACTTGGACCATTAACTAGTCACACAGAAGTGTGAAGGCGGGAAGTCAGTTTACATGTGAGAGGGAGGGAACGGGAGAAACAGAGGATGAAAAAATGAAGGAAGTAGCGGTGATGGTAGTAGCAGCAGTAGTAGTAGGTAGGAGTAGTTACACTAGTCAGAGTGGAGTGTAGCAAGGTAATAGTAGTAGTAGTGCAGTAATATTATGCAGTTAAAATATGTACATAATTACTGTACAACGGAACCCTGAATATTGGCCGTAATCCGTTCCAGAAGGTCAGCCTAAATTTGAAAAGGCCTCAATTCGAAGCAATATTTCCCATAAAAATTAATGTAAATACAATTAATCATGACAGAAATGTTAAAAGCAGGGAGGGACATAGTGTTGGAGTGGTTGGTACTCAAGTTGGACTTAAGTCCAGCAGGCCGGACTTGAGTCCTGGAGATGGGAAGTACAGTGCCTGCACTCTGAAGGAGGGGTGTAAATGTTGCAGTTTAAAAACTGTAGTGTAAAGCACCCTTCTGGCAAGACAGTGATGGAGTGAATGATGGTGAAAGTTTTTCTTTTTCGGGCCACCCTGCCTTGGTGGGAATCGGCCAGTGTGATAATAATAATAAAAAAATGTTTAATAAATGTATGAGGGGTTGTTGAGGTGGTTTGGTCGTTTAGAGAGAATGGATCAAAGTAGAATGACATGGAAAGCATATAAATCTATAGGGGAAGGAAGGCGGGGTAGGGGTCGTCCTCAAAAGGGTTGGAGAGAGGGGGTAAAGGAGGTTTTGTGGGCAAGGGGCCTGGACTTCCAGCAAGCGTGCGTGGGCGTGTTAGATAGGAGTGAATGGAGACGAATGGTACTTGGGACCTGACGATCTGTTGGAGGGTGAGCAGGGTAATATTTAGTGAAGGGATTCAGGGAAACCGGTTATTTTCATATAGTCGGAAATGAGTCCTGGAAATGGGAAGTACAATGCCTGCACTTTAAAGGAGGGGTTTGGGATATTGGCAGTTTGGAGGGATATGTTGTGTATCTTTATATGTGTATGCTTCTAAACTGTTGTATTCTGAGCACCTCTGCAAAAACAGTGATAATGTGCGAGTGTGGTGAAAGTGTTGAATGATGATGAAAGTATTCTTTTTGGGGATTTTCTTTCTTTTTTGGGTCACCCTGCCTCGGTGGGAGACGGCTGACTTGTTGAAAAAAAAAAAAATGTATGAAAGAGGGGAAGGTACCTAGGGATTGGCAGTGTGTGTGTGTATAGTCCCTTTATATAAAGGGAAGGGGGACAAAAGAGATTGTAAAAATTATAGAGGAATAAGTTTACTGAGTATACCAGGAAAAGTGTACGGTAGGGTTATTATTGAAAGAATTAGAGGCAAGACAGAATGTAGAATTGCGGATGAGCAAGGAGGTTTCAGAGTGGGTAGGGGATGTGTAGATCAAGTGTTTACATTGAAACATATATGTGAGCAGTATTTAGATAAAGGTAGGGAAGTTTTTATTGCGTTTATGGATTTAGAAAAGGCATATGATAGTGGATAGGGGATCTATGTGGCAGATGTTGCAAGTATATGGAATAGGTTGTAAGTTACTAAATGCTGTAAAGAGTTTTTATGAGGATAGTGAGGCTCAGGTTAGGGTGTGTAGAAGAGAGAGAGACTACTTCCCGGTAAAAGTAGGTCTTAGACAGGGATGTGTAATGCCACCATGGTTGTTTAATATATTTATAGATGGGGTTGTAAAAGAAGTAAATGCTAGGGTGTTCGGGAGAGGGGTGGTATTAAATTATGGGGAATTAAATACAAAATGGGAAGTTAGCTACTTTGCTGATGATACTGTGCTTATGGGAGATTCTAAAGAAAAATTGCAAAGTTTAGTGGACGAATTTGGGAATATGTGCAAAGGTAGAAAGTTGAGAGTGAACATAAAAAAGAGTAAGGTGATGAGAGGATCAAATGATTTAGATAAAGAAAAATTGGATATCAAATTGGGGAGGAGGAGTATGGAAGAAGTGAATGTTTTCAGATATTTGGGAGTTGACGTGTCAACAGATGGATTTATGAAGGATGAGGTTAATCATAGAATTGATGAATGTAAAAAGGTGAGTGGTGCATTGAGGTATATGTGGAGGCAAAAAATGATATCTATGGAGGCAAAGAAGAGAATGTATGGAAGTATAGTAGTACCAACACTCTTATATGGGTGTGAAACTTGGGTTGTAAATGCTGCAGCAAGGAGGTGGTTAGAGGCAGTGGAGATGTCCTGTCTAAGGGCAATGTGTGGTGTAAATATTATGCAGAAAATTCAGAGTGTGGAAATTAGGAGAAGGTGTGGAGTTAATAAAAGGATTAGAGGGCTGAAGAGGGTTTGTTGAGGTGGTTTGGTCATTTAGAGAGAATGGATCAAAGTAGAATGAGATGGAGAGCGTATAAATCTGTAGGGGAAGGAAGGCGGGGTAGGGGTCGTCCTCGAAAAGGTTGAAGGTAGGGGGTACAGGTGGTGTTGTGGGCGAGGGGTTTGGACTTCCAGCAAGCGTGTGTGAGCATGTTCGATAGGAGTGAATGGAGACAAATAGTATTTGGGACCTGACGATCTGTTGGAGTGTGAGCAGGGTAATATTTAGTGAAGGGATTCAGGGAAACCGGTTATTTTATATAACCGGACTTGAGTCCTGGAAATGGGAAGTACAATGCCTGCACTCTAAAGGAGGGGTTTGGGATATTGGCAGTTTGGAGAGATATACTATTGTGTATTTTTATATGTATATACTTCTAAACTGTTGTATTCTGGGCACCTCTGCAAAAACAGTGATTGTGTGAGTGAGGTGAAAGTGTTGAATGATGATGAAAGTATTTTCTTTTTGGGGATTTTCTTTCTCTTTGGGTCACCCTGCCTTGGTGGGAGACGGCCGACTTGTTGAAAAAAAAAAAAAATATCCATTCCAGTCACCCAAAAATATTAACAAAAAATACAGTTTTTAAAGATTAATTATAGTTGGCCGTAATCCGTTCCAGAAGGTCGGCCTAAATTCGAAAAGGCCGGACTTGAGTCCTGGAGATGGGAAGTACAGTGCCTGCACTCTGAAGGAGGGGTGTTAATGTTGCAGTTTAAAAACTGTAGTGTAAAGCACCCTTCTGGCAAGACAGTGATGGAGTGAATGATGGTGAAAGTTTTTCTTTTTCGGGCCACCCTGCCTTGGTGGGAATCGGCCGGTGTGATAATAAAAAAAAAATAAACAATTAATCCATTCCACACCTCCAATTTTTTTTTTTTTTTTTTTTTTTTTTTTTTTTCAACAAGTCGGCCGTCTCCCACCAAGGCAGGTGATGACATGCCCAGGTATGGATCCGTTAGCAAATAGTCTTGTTTGGCGGCGTAATGTTCTTAAATGCAACAAGTGCATTGGAAGTATTCCTCCAAAAATATTAACAAAAAATACATTTTTAAAGATTAATTATAGTTTTACATACACAAAACAATGAGCATTAAATAAAATAAATGAACATTTAAATCACTATTACATACCTTTATTGAAGACTCTTGTTGGCCTATGGAAGACAGGGAGGAGGAGAGGGAGGACTGATTCTTGTTTGGAAGGGGCATCCCCCTCCCTAGGGGTGCTGCTTCCCTTCCACACTCCGTTTCCCTGCTACACTCCCTGCATGCCTGCTACACTCCCTGCATGCCTGCTACACTCCCTGCCTCCCTGCTACACTCCCTGCATGCCTGCTACACTCCCTGCCTCCCTGCTACACTCCCTGCATGCCTGCTACACTCCCTGCCTCCCTGCTACACTCCCTGCATGCCTGCTACACTCCCTGTCTCTCTCCACATCTTCCATTGGGCCCATGATGGCTTATTTCACAGTCGCACATATTAAACAAGCACAAAAACCAATGGATTTTAAGGAAATGTTTGGATGAATGCTCGGAGTATATGGTCAATCACCAAGAGACACTGGTAGACTGACTCGCCTACGTGTGGCGTCCCGGTGGGAGGCGGGCTGATGCATATAATACGGCCGATTTGTGAGGCACCGGCTGAAATACGGAGCAAAATATCTGCCCAAAAACCGCTTTAAATATGATTCGGCTGATGAATGCAACAGCCAATATTCAGGGTTCCACTGTACATCTAAAAACCTTGTCACTTAGGTTATTATATTAAAATCATGAATAATTCATATTCTACACTGACAAGCTTTGTATTAACCTTTAGATATAGTACTATGATTAGAGTAATTCTAAAAACCTCTTCATAATTTAAACAAAAAATTTAGAACATACTGTAGCACTATGGTATCTTCGCTGTAAATATGTGAACAATTTAGGAAAAATTCTAGATCTACAAAGTGGTTTTGAGGTCAGAAAAAATAGTAAGAAATTCTGAAAATGCTGTAAATTCCTCATTAGCCAATAGTTGCAGTTGATGAGATGTAACCACATAAAAAGGTCATGTAAGTGAATGTTTTTAAATATTTGAGTGGTCATTACTGAAAGACAAGGTGAAGTATATGTGAAATAGATGGGTTAAAAAAATAGATGGAGGGTTGAGGCATCCATGGAATGAAAAATTTACCAGTGGAGGCAAAAAAGGGGAATGTACCTTAGTATAGTGGTACCAACACTTTCATATGGAAGTGGGTATGAATTAAATGTAGCATCAGTGAGGCAGAGAAGGCAGTAGTGATGTTATGTTTGAAATTAATATGTAGCATGAATATTATGCAGAAAATTTGAAGCATGCAATTGGATAGTGTGGGATGACCAAAAAAACAATTTGGAGGGTTTAGGATGGGGTTCTGGATGGACATTTAGAGAGGATGAAGCAGAATAGGATGACAAAGGTGATGTATAAATCTAGGTTGGAAGGAGGGTTAGGGGTCATCCCAAAAAGGGTTGAAGGGAAGGGGTAAAAGAGATTTTGGGTGCTCAAGGTTTTGACATTCAGCAGACTTGAGTGTTTTGGATCAAAGTGAGTGGGAAAAAAAGTGGGTTTTATGGCTTTATGTGGTGTTGCAGTATGAACAAGGTAGCAGTTATGAAGGGATTCAGGGAAATCATTTGACCTTAAATGCAATTCTCATGCCTTCTCATTTCTACCTGTTAGCCAATAAGGGCATCTTTAGTGTATACAGTCTTTCATCATAACTGTATTTTTCATTTAAAGTTATGTTTGAAATTTGTTTAAGGCAGAAAATGTGATTTAAATTTTCTAGTCCTGTATTCTCTACCAGTGATGGGCTCTTCATGTTATTTTGTATAAGAATACCAGTATAATTTGTTTGTGAATTTTTCAGGAGAGAGTGAGGTACCAGCCACGTATAAGGTTTAGAGCAAATCATCTTCAGCGTTTCCACCTTGGTACCATCTGTTCTGATGTCGATCAACAGGAGCTTAAAATATACCAAGAGAATTTAAGCTGCAGAAACACAGTAAGAGGCTATAAATAATCAGAATGGAATTATGGTAGGAAAGAAGAGGTTACTGTAGTAGCACTGATGTGACAAGTAGAAATTAGGTTTCAAATGATTGTTTTGCTTAACTTTATTATGTACCGGGACTTGAATACTGGAGTGGGAAGTACAATGCCTGCACTATAAATGAGGGGGTTGGGATATTGGCAGTTTGGAGTGACATCTAAACTGTCATATCTGGATGCCTCTGCATAGACAGTGATTTTGTATGAATGATGGTGAAAGTGTTTTTCTTTTTGGGGTCATCCTGCCTCGGTGGGAGACGGCCGATGTGTTGAAAAAAAAAAATTTGTGTGTACCCCATACCTACCTAAAGTCAGTACTTGACCAGCCAGGCTGTGGTTCATACCTGGAGTATACCTGGAGAGGGTTTCGGGAGTCAATGCCCCCATGGCCTGATCTGTAACCAGGCCTCATTGTGGATCAGGGCCTGATCAACCAGGCTGTTCCTGTTGGCCGCATGCTACCCAGCGTATGAACCACAGCCTGGCTGGTCAGGTACTGACTTTAGGTGTCTGTCCAGTGCCTTCTTGAAGACAGCCAGGGGTCTATTGGTAATCCCCTTAAGTGTGCTGGTTTGCTGTCGGCCAGCAGTAACAGCCTAGTTGATCAAGCCCTGATCCACCGTAAGGCTTAGTCATGGATCAGGCCACTGGGGTGTTGACCCTTGGAACACCCTTCAGGTATACTCCAGATACACCTTGGCATTTTTGCACATGTGGCACCCTCTCTTTGCACTTGGTGACAAAATCTGGCTGGGAATGGTTGCCTTCACTGTTTAATGAGTATTATTCAGTGGTATTTCAATAAAATGAATGCAAGGGGAGGCAGCAACTAAAGCAAAATAAGAAAAGTATGGACATACAATCATAAAGCTCTTGGATACAAATGAATGATATATTATTGAATAGACTAAAATTAAGGGACATAATTAAAATGAACTTAATTTATTTCTTGATGAAATATGTAATACTGAGACAGTTATATTGGAGTGCAATGGCAGTATATTCTCGTTTTTGCCTTGATGGAAAAAAAATTGGTGGTTGTGGTGTATGACAAGAAAGCTGCCATTTGCAACTGTAGCTCTCATTGCTGTCTTCAAGTAGGAAAGGGGCCTTGATGCTGGTGAAAGGCTCTTCAACAAATTTGGAGTTTTCACTACAAATAACCCTCACTTAAGAGTGTTCATGACAATATTTCAGTCCACCTGGATCATTGTCAGGTCACAATTATTGTCAAGTTTCCTTAAGTCCATGTTAGTTTTGCATTTTCCAGTGCCTTATCAATAACTCTGAAGCCACTGGCAGCTATGTTGGTTTGAAACATCAACTGGGTTATGGGCAATATTTCCATCACTGTTGGGTATAGGAAACTATGCTTGCATAATTGCTGAATTGGACACACAAGACTCTCCCATAGTTAACACACACATTTCCAGCATCTTGCTATGAGGACTGCCAGGCCTGTCGATTCCCCATTTCTTGTTAAACTGTCTTATCTATCAGAGCACAAGAATTCACTTTTAGCATCAGCAACACCCTGACACACTCTGGAATTGCTGCGAGTCCCACTTTCAATACAGACTTACTCTTTGGATTTTTAACAGAAACCAATCAACCCATTTCATCAAGATGATAAATGGTACACAATTCTGAGTCGCTGGAAAATACACAAATGCAGTACAGTGGTCCCTCGATAATCGTCAGGCTCGATAGTCGTCCTTTTCAGAAATTGTTATTTTCGTCCAAACATTGGCTCACAGATGGTCGGTTGACTCGCTAATCGTCATTCGTCCTGGACGCGTACTCATGACTCTGAGCCGCCTTGGCCTCTCTTCCCAGCCAGTGTGCTATTGTTTACCAGTGAGCAAAGGTCCCCTCACTTGTTAATACGAAATATTTCATAATATTCCATTCATTTTAGTGCTTGCAAGTGCTAAATAAGCTACCATGGCTCCAAAGAAAGCTCCTAGTGCCAAGCCTTTGGTAAAGAAGGTGAGAAATACGATTGAATTTAAGAAAAACACCATCGATCAATATGAAAGTGGCGTATGTGTGGCTGAACTGGCCAGGATGTATAACAAACCCCATACAACCATATCTTCCATCGTGGCAAAGAAAAAGGAAATTAAGAAAGCTGTTGTTGCTCGGAGAAAATTGTGGCCAGATTGTGTCCACAAGAGGGATTTTGAAGGGTTTGTGGCTGACCCTGATGAGCCTATGTCAGTTGTGAAATCTATTGTGGCATTGGGGAGTTCCATGGGGTTGGATGTGAGTTTGGAGGATGTGGAAGAGTTGGTGGAGGACCACAACGAAGAGCTAACCACTGAGGAGTTGCAAGAACTTCAGCAGGAACAGCAACAGATCGCAGCTCAGAATCTTGCTGCAGAGGAGGAGGAAGAGAGATGGAAGAAGGTGCCTTCTTCAGAAATTAAGGAGATTTTTGAAATGTGGGGTAGGATGGAAAGATTTATGGAGAAACATCACCCTGAGAAGGATGTTGCAAGCCATATCGGCAACTTGTGCAGTGACAGTCTTGGCCCATTTTAGGGAAGTTTTAAAGAGATGCCAGAAACGGAGCTCTCTGGACACTTTTTTTGCGAGACAGGACTCCAGTGACTCAAGCTGGTCCTAGTGGCATTAAGAAACAGAGAAGAGAAGTATGTAACCCCAGAAAAGGACTTGGTACCTGAGGTGTTGATGGAAGGGGATTCCCCTCCCAACCAGTAACTAATCCAATCTCTCTCCTCCTCCAGTCTTCCATACACTAAGAAGAATTGCCAATAAAGGTAAGTGTTATGCTGTTAATGTTTCATTCATCATGTCCCATTGTATTGTTTATGTACTACATCCATATTTCATGTAAAAAAAATTTTTGTTTTAATACTTCTGGGTGTCAGGAACAGATTACTGTAATTGTATTTACATTATTTCTTATGGGGAAAATTGATTCGAAAATCTTCTATTTTGATAATCGTTGCAATTCCAGGAACGGATTAACGATGATAAACGAGGAACCACTGTATAATGCAATCCTCTATTGACTACGTTGTGCCTACACAGTGGGCACAAGTCACAAACATACCCGAGCAGAGAGTACATTAAAGTCTGTCTGTGATTTAATAAAATTTGCTGTATGGGTGAAATGTAGTCAATAAAGAATTGCCTTGTACTATATTTGCCTATTTATTCGTCTATATCAACTTGAGTTGGGAGTTTGTTTGGGTGCAAAATTAAATTTTACATCTGCATGAACCCCAAAGTCTGCTGATCCCAACCCTTCCACATCACCACACAGCAGCTCTGTATAACCCACACAGGTTTAGTGCTTATTTTTTAATATAATAATAATAATAGGTTAACCCCCCAAAAAAAACATTTACTTTTGTTCATCCAGTTCAGTGAACAGTGATGAGCGTGTTTCCTGCTTTTGGTAAAACTAGCATGGTAGGAAAGAGCCAGTGTGGCAAAGAAAAATTAGTACTACTATCCTGTATTATGATGGTTCAGAATCTGAATGGGATAAAAGCTGTTGGGCATAGTTGTTTTACTCCATTTGCCTCTATTCATTCAGCAATATTTTTTTTTTATTCTCACTGTTCTAAGGTGGAGTTGTTTTGCAGGATGGGCAGGAAGAAACAACCCAGTGGTTACGAAAGCAGTCAGACACTGGTGAGTTATACTAAACTTTTTATAATGTACCATAATTTAATAACTTCAGTTGAGAATGAGAGTTTGAGAGAGTGAGGGGGGAGACAAAAGTGAATGTGAAGGGGCGAGAGAAGAGTGAGAGTATGAGGGGGAGAGAAAAGAGTGAGATTATGAGGGGGAGAGAAAAGAGTGAATGTTTGAGAGGAAGAGAAAAGAGTGAGAGAGAGAGGTTGAGATTCCAGGTAGGCCCTTATGCATTTTTCTAATATCAGTAACAAAGTGGGAAGGTTCTTTGTTTGTGGTGCGTTGAGGTATATGTGGAGACAAAAACCGTTATCTATGGAGGCAAAGAAGAGAATGTATGAAAGTATAGTAGTACCAGCACTCTTATATGGGTGTGAAGCTTGGGTTGTAAATGCTGCAGCGAGGAGGCGGTTGGTGGCAGTGGAGATGTCCTGTCTAAGGGCAATGTGTGGTGTAAATATGCAGAAAATTTGGAGTGTGGAAATTAGGAGAAGGTGTGGAGTTAATAAAAGTATTAGTCAGAGGGCTGAAGAGGGGTTGTTGAGGTGGTTTGGTCATTTAGAGAGAATGGATCAAAGTAGAATGATATGGAGAGTGTATAAATCTGTAGGGGAAGGAAGGCGGGGTAGGGGTCATCCCCAAAAACGTTGGAGGGAGAGGGTAAAGGAGGTTTTATGGGTGAGGTGCTTGGACTTTCAGCAATTGTGCTCGAGTGTGTTAGATAGGAGTGAATGGAGACGAATGGTATTTGGGACCTGATGAGCTGTTGGGATGTGAGCAGGGTAATATTTAGTGAAGGGATTCAGGGAAACCGGTTATTTTTATATAGCCGGACTTGAGTCCTGGAAATGGGAATACAATACCTGCACTTGAACCCCTTGACTGTTTCAGTCGTATATATATGTCTTACGAGCCAATGTTTCTGACGTATTTATACGCGTAAATTCTAGTGGCTTCAAATCAAGCGGGAGAAAGCTGGTAGGCCTACATGAGAGAGAATGGGTCTCAGTGGTGGGTGTACACCCTGTTAAAAAAATCTGGGACTCAGTGGTGCATTGTGAGATCGCCATCTTGTAGTCTATTTTCACTATGCCTCGCGGTAAGAAGTACCTCACTCCTCGGCGGATTGGAGGTTACTGTTCCCAAGTGATAGTTCTAACAGTGATGGGAGTGCCAGTGAAAGTGTAGTTCATGGTTTTAGAGAGGGTGTGACCAAAGGCAGTGCCCAGGATAACGTAATTAGTGATGAAAACCCAGATGACCCACAACCGTCCACCTCTGGTGCTGGCACATCTCATTCACGTTCACCTGTACCAGGACGAAAAAGGAAACTATTTCCCCATTTACAGGACTCGGATCTGAGCAGTGAAAGTGATAATGATAGTGATTTCAAAGTTATTGAAAGCAGCTCGAGTAGCGACAGTGAGGGGAAATATTCGCCAGTGAAACAGCAGTATGTACACCGCAGCATGCATTCTGGTAGTGTGTCTTATGCCCTCCCAAGGCAAAGGAGTAAATCTGGGAGTACATCTTGTAGCCCTACACCACGACCTGACAGTGAAGATGACGATATTGTTACAATGGGGATGTGTAATGCTCGTGGGGAAGGTGATGGTGGTGGTGATGTTGGCGGTGGCATGAGTCATGTGGCACCAGCAGCGGGCCACGCTACTACTGATACTGCCGACTCTGCACAAGCACAACCAGCCTCACCCAACCCCACACTCCCACAACAACCACAACCACAACCTGCACAACCACAACCACGTTTCAATATCCAGAACCCACCAGCAGACCGCATCTGGGATTGGCAGCAAGGTGACGATTTTATTCCCAATCCCCACGACTTTGATGAAACACAGTGGAATACGGCCATCGTGTACACTTGGGAACAATGCCACTGAACTAGAATGCTTTCAGTTATTCTTTGATGAACCCCTGATGGAAATTATTGTCAGGGAAAGCAACACATACTATGAGTACACCATGGCAAATACAATTCTTTCACCAAGGTCACGGCTACACCAGTGGAAGGACACAACTGTGGCGGAGATGTACCTGTTCTTTGCCACAATAATGCTTATGCCACGTGTATAAGCACACTGCCACCACATACTGGTCGACGGAATGCCTGATTTCAATCCCAGGTTTTAGTGATATTATAGGAGTCAATTGTTTTTTGATACTGTTACGTATGTTACACTTTTCAGACAAAACCAGGCCTGACAGAAGCGACAGGTTATATAAGATCAGAAATGTGTTTGTGCCTGAAACAAAAGTGTTTGTATTTTTATCCCTTCAGGAAGCTTGTTATTGACGAGTCTTTGATTTTGTTCAGAGGAAGACTCTCATTCAAGCAGTACATACCAAACAAGAGGAAATGCTTTGGTATAAAGTTATTTGCACTGTGTGATTGCAAAAGTGGTCTGGTTTTGGATATTATTGTGTACACTGGCAGTAATACATTGAGAGATACCAGGAAGTTATTGGGTATCTCTGGTGATGTGGTTAGAACAGTGATGGAACCATATCTTGGTAAGGGGCATATTTTATATACTGATAACTGGTACACAATCCCCTTACTCAGTAATTTCTTGCGAGTGAACATGACAGACGTGTGTGGCACAGTGTGTGGTAATCATAAGCATATGTCAAGGTTCAACGCTGGCACTCAGAGGTGAGGTGCAGGCTTTTGCTGCCAATGACATCATGGCATTTCGGTGGCATGACATGTGATGTCACATTGTTGACATCAGTTCACCAAAATGAAATGGCAGACAGTGGCAGGCAGAATAGAGAGACCAGTGAACCCATTCTAAAACCTGCAGCTGTCATGGACTACAATCTCAATATGCACTTAGTGGACAAATGTGAGATGCATATTGAGTTTGCTGATTGTGTATGCAAGAGTTATAAATGGTACATAAAATTTTTTTTCCATCTTCTTGATATTTCCATGCTGAATGCTTATAACATATACAAGTTGAAGACCAACAACCAACCAAAATATGGTGAATTTTGTTTGTCAGTCATCAGACAAATAATCAAGTACCAAGGAGCAACGCCTGCAATAGACCAGCACCCACGAAATTACCAACACATGCCATCTCGTTTAAGGCCTGGTGATCACTACCCCATACAAATGCCTCCTACTGCTCTCAAGAAAAGTGCTCAGAAGATGTGTTTTGTATGTGGACATATCACAAAATGCCCACAAAAATGCAGAGAGACTCGTTTTGTGTGAGGAGTGTCAAGTACCACTCTGCATATACCCATGTTTCAAAGATTTCCACAAGCTGCAGCAGTTCTAGGAAAGTGTTCAGTGACTGTACATATGTATATATATATTATAGAACAATAGTAATAAACAATGTTTTGTATTGTTTGTGTAAACAAGTTTTATAAACAATCTAATAGTGATAATGTTTGTGCAGTTGTTGTGTTGTAAACAATGAGTGTATATTTGAACACTCCACCTTACTTTGGTCTCACAGGCCACATAAGTTACTTAGAAAAGAAAAATATTGGAAAATACAAGAAACCTTTGAATTGGAGTAAATAAAAGAATACCGGGTGAGTGGCATTCGCTGCTGTTGCCATACGTGGCTCATTTTATGCCAACTTTGCGTCTCTGTATCTCGGTAAGTACTGATGGCAAAAAAAATTTTTTAGGCTTAAAACGCTTGGTAAAATAATCCCAACATTATGGTAAGAAAACATAATAATAATTTTTTTTTTTTTCAAATATTTTGTGACAATGAAAGTTTCAGAAGTGGGCTTGCGACAGTCAGAGTTAAAGGAGGAGTTTGGGATATTGGCAGTTTGGAGGGATATGTTGTGTATCTTTATATGTATATGCTTCTCATCTGTTGTATTCTGAGCACCTCTGCAAAAATAGTGATTGTGTGAGTGAGGTGAAAGTGTTGAATGATGATGAAAGTATTTTCTTTTTGGGGATTTTCTTTCTTTTTGGGTCACTCTGCCTCGGTGGGAGACGGCCGACTTGTTAAAAAAAAAAATTATATTTTTTTTTTTACTTCAGATTTGTGCTTAATATTTTTCAGATTTATCACTACAGACAGACCAGAGTGAAGAGTCTAAGGCCTCATCTTCATCACACCATACTGGCCAATGTAATGAACCTAGATCCTCATCCCCATCACTGTACACAATCCATTGCAAAGAGTCTAAGAATTTATCACCAAAAACCTCTCTGAAACCTGGTCAAAAATTTAAGGATGGTGTAAAGAAGACAATAAGACTTGAACATCATGGTCCTCTAAGAAGGCCATTAGTTGCACAGCTTATTGAAGCTGAAAAACAGGCATATCCAGAGGTATTTATTGCTGTGGTAGTTAATGTATAGTACAGGTTGACATTCACTAATCTGGCATCATTGGGATCTGTAGAGTGCCAGATTAGTGATTTTGCTGGATCACAGAGTGGTTAGGTTAGAATGCACTTAACCAAATAGCTAACTACCACATCCTACTTTTAAAATACCCTGTAAATACCCCATATTTACAGGAATTAGTAATGGCCTACCTTTAATATTTTCTCTACAAGTGATTCGTCCTATTTATTGGGCGAGTGATTTTTTTCATTCAGGATTTAAGACTTTTTTTTTTTTTCATTAGGTATGTTGCATCTTTAAGGGGCTGTATTGAATAACTTTTAAGTTTAACACAGAGGCTGGAAGTCTGGAATGTCAAAAAGGTGACTAAAAATAAAATTAGTCGTTTGTGCTTATTCATTGTAGTTTTGGGATTTCGGGTTTGCAATTGGTCCATAGTTCATTAAGCAATGTTTCTAAAGTTCATAAGAAGGTTTTTCGTATGTAGCTGAATGCAGTATACTTATCCTGAGGGATTAAACTCCAATTTTCAAATACTGCACTTTGATAGAAACTATTTCCTTGTTAAATTTGTTATGACATTCATTGTTAATGAATTTACACATGCTCTATACTGTAATCTGCCATTATGAAATTTACTGTATAATTTTGAGGTGCTGTATTTATTCTGTACTGTCAAGTACATACATTATAGAATGGGTGCATGGTAGATTCTTAATGCACCTGCATTAAGAATCTACCATACACCCATTCCTTGTTTTACACTATTAAAGAATGCACAGTTTTATGCATAACTGTATACTTTGTTAAAACTGGTGTCCCAAAACACTGTAAAATCATTTTAAAAAACTGTGCTTGTGAACCTGCAGAAACAGAAAAGTTCTGTGCAGTACAGGTACTGTATTACTTTGAAATATTCTTTGTTCCTTGGTTACTTTTTTTTTTTTTTTTTTTAAACAAGTACTAGAGATTGTCAGAGCTTTTTTTTTTTTTTTTTTACAATAGTATTGTGGTTATTAGGCTTATGTTATTTGCTTATATTAAAGTATAATTGTGTCCTTTGTATTTTAGGTAGAAAATGCTCAACCAGAAAACGCAGCCAATGAAATGGAAGAGTGGAACGTTGATGATTCAGAAATGAAGATTTGCCTAGATGAAAATGAAAATGTAACATCGCAAAATGTTAAAATAGCTGATGTAAATTATCAACCTGTTTCCTGTTCCAGGATGACTTGCTACCCTGGCACCACGATAAGCCATTTTTATAAACCTGGTTTGTATTCCATATTTTCTTTCCATAAAATATTCAATGTCCAGTGCTGTATTATAATCTGGATTGCTTCCTTAACAAAAAAGTGCTGTTGTGTAAGACCACATGGGGTCACTATCAAATTCAGATTCAAAATTCAAAAATTTATTTCTTTGCATAGTACACAATGTGTAGTTTACATGCAGTACAATATTGTTAAGCACAAAGAAAGCCACTAACATGCCTGAGCATTTCAGGCAGACTAATCCTAATGCTTACACACTACTTAATCCTTTGAGGGTCCGTCCTGTAGTTCTGTGGCTGTGAAGCCAGGGTCTAAGCCATAGTACTACGTCATGAGCTCAGCTCACTCAAATAAGCTGTGAGCGGTAAATTCGGGCCTAGATATGAGAGTGTGCATCTGTATGGTAAGTGTGCACCATATAAAACAAATCCTGAAGTATGCAGTGCATAATGAGAAAAAACTGTGACCATATTTTTGGATTAAAACAATGACATTGCAGTGTATTTTCATATGGACTTTACAGTTGTATTCACGGTTTCTTGGTCTCGTTTGATAGAATGGAAGATATATTACAGAAATAGAGAGATTTTGATTGTTTTTCATAATGAAAATAGCTTGAAATTGAACTCAAAGTAGCAGAAATCTTCAGTTTTTGCCGATGTTCAAGAGTAAATAAATCACATCCCGCATCCAATACAACTCCACTGGGGGGTCTAATATATGTTCAGGAATTCGCTGATATTATTTAAAATTTTTATTACAATATTGCATAAATAAATCTTTTTTTTGGGGAATAAAAATTTTTTTTGAAAAAAAAAAATAAAATTTGGAATTCTTTTGAAAAGCCTGGAAATGTACCTAGAAACAGAAAAAATGTTATTTTATGCCGGATCCCTGATTGTTTATTCCCCCTTTTAAAGGGGGGCCCTCCTTGGCGTGGTTAAAGAGGCCGGGGTTGGGGGAATTTAGCCCTGGGGTTTTTCTAACCGAACCTAATAACCCCCATTTCCCCCCTCCCCTTCCCACCTCCCCATCCCCCCCTTTTTCATTCCTCCCCCCTCCTCACCCCCCTTTTCCCCTTTCCCCTTTTTTAGCCTCGGGTTTTTCCCCCACAGGCGCGCTATTCCTAGGTGGGGGAAAAGGGACCCGGGGTCCACCCCTTTCCCGTTGAGGTTTTTGGGGGTGGGAGTTTGCCGTGGAAACTGGTTTGCCTGGGGGTGTCCGACCCCCTCTCCGGTACCCCGGGGAGTGGGGGGGTGTCTTTTGGGCGACGGGGTACTCTGGAAGCTCCCTTTTTGGGGATTCCGGGGGTGGTGGCTGAAGGGGGTTGCTTTGGGGGCGGATACCCGGGCCCCGCCCTCTTTTTGTCCCCCGGGGTAGCTGGGCAGAGTGAGGTTGCTATCCCGATTGCTGGTTTAGGCATGAAGGGTAGGGGGCCCGGGTTTCCATGGCATTGCGTACTAGCGGTGCGAGCCCTTTTGGGGCGCGGGAGGGAGTTTTTGGGCCCTTTCATTCCTCCTGGGAAAAACTATCCCCCCCCGGCCCCCCCTTTTTTTTTTTCTTTTTTTTTTTTTTTTTCTTTTCTTCTTTTTTTTTTTTCTTAAAACAAAAAGAAAAAGAAACCCTACCATGGCAGCCCTAGCCCATAAACCGGTACCCCGGGCCCCCTTTCTTGTACCGCCCCCCGTTCTGACCCCCCCTCGTCTTTGGACCACCTTCAAAAATTCCTTCCCTCTGTACTATTGCCGGTGTTTTCCTCACCCCGTTCGGGTCTGGGGCCCTCGAGACCCCTTCGTTTTATCAGTTTTGCTCCCTTGACTATGTTCGGCCTCTCCCTCTACGGGCGGCAATTTTCAATCGCCGACCCGTTCCACTGGAAAAAACTCTGGCCCCACGCCAAAACGTCAAACAATTACCTGCTGATGATACTTTCCACCTTCACCTTCCGTTCTTCCAAAACGATCGCAGTCCTTCAATCCCTTTTCCACGCCATTTTCAGACTAAACATGGACAAAATTCTTATTTACGCCAAACTTCCTCACTGCCTTCTTTCGCCCAAGTATTGGCAAGGCACCCCGCCATGTTGGTAAAGATTTTTCTTTTCAGTTTAAGAGCGGTACGCCTCTTTTCCGTAAAAATCTCCCCAGGCTCGGAGCTCCTGTCTTTCCATAAGAACTTTTCCTGTCCCCCTTGAAAAAACACTTTCCCTCAATTCTTGTAGTGGACCGTTATTCTGCCCCATCCAAGTTCAACAAAATTTCCAACTGTGGCACCGACTTCAGAACACTGGAACTCCAAGATCTCCAACCCTAAGGTGACATTACGTTTTTCCCTGCCCGTGGGGGGACATACCCTAGCATTTTGTCGTTTAATTTTTTGACGCCGAAACTCCATCCTCCGTTTAATAGCAGGCACGGTTAAATTTCAAAAGGTGTCCCTACCCCCCACGTGTAAAAATTTGCTGGCGTTTTGGCCATCCAGCGAAATATTGCGACTTCCCCAAATGCCCTCTGTGGTGCCGATGACCTTCAAACGCTTGCAAGATCTCCCCTTCCCTTAACTGTCATGGGGCCCCCCCCTTCGTATCTCGCCGTTGCGGGTCTTTTAAAAACGACGGGGAAACCGTTCCTCAAGAGACAAAAGGTTCCTTAGCCAGGGCGTTTCTCTCCCCGCCCCCAAGGGGACTCCCGTGTTTTTACCCCCTGTTTAAAAAGCCCCCCCACTTCTGGTACCCCATCTTTACACCCCCCCTCTGTGGTTCCCTCTCCCATAATCACTCCGTACAAAACCTTTGCTGTCCTCGGCCGACGTCCCTACTTCAACCCTCAGTCTAATCTCGTTCTTCGATTTCCCTCTCTTACAAGCCTCAGTTCGATGGACCTCGTACGAACCTCTTCCAATCGCCCCTCACTTCTAAAAAGTCAAAAAAAGGTCGGTAACACCTCCTCCCCATTTCCCCTCCTATTTTACCCCCCCTGTCTCTTCCCTGTTCTTCCCCTCTCACGGCTCGTTAAAAGTGCGAGTTCACCCTTCCCGAAGTCCCCTTCCCCCCCTGTTCCCCCCCAAGTTTCTTCCTCTTCTCCCACCTCCCGGGTTCCTGTTCTTCTGTCCCTGCCACGTTCCCCAGTTCCCCCCCACCCTTTCGCCCCCCCTCCCTTTGGTACATCCAATACATTTTCCAATCTTTCTCTCCCCCCCTCCCTTTCCCCAATTTGTCCCCTTTCGACATCTCTGAATTCCGAAAACTTTGAAGCAATCTCTGAATAATTGCAAACCCAAAAACCATCATGGACATGTTTCCCCTTTCCCGCTCTTCTCTCCCCTCTGTCCATCTGCGCAACTCCTTTTTCACAGCGCACCTTTTCCTTCGTGCTTGAACATTTTCCATGCTCCGCATTGGATTTCAACCCCTTCTAGCCCGTGGAACCCTTACCTGCGGTTTTCAAGTATCTTTATCATTCCCAATCAGGGCCCTTTTTACAGTGGAATATACGCGGCCTCGGGGGTAATCGGGGTGGCTTCAGTTTTTACTCTCCAGTTTGCCCTGTTGGTTTTGTTCGGGAAAACCAAAATTACACTCTGCTGTTTTTCTAAAATCTCAGGTTTAAAAATTTTTTGTATTCTTCGACCTTTTTCCTGTGGGACCTTTTAATGAAGTCCCTTCCCCCGCATGATATTCCGTACCAAGCTATTATTCTTTTCGCTGCATTACACAGCAGCCCGTTTCCCATTAAAATGGTGGTATACGCTCTGTTCTTTAATCTCTTCCTTCTGGGGCTTTCTTTTCCCGGATTTTCCCTTTCCCTTTGTTTCGGCTTTCCCCGCCCCGATTCTGTTACTTGGTGTTTTTTAAGCCCCCATTTCCTTGGGGGGGGTTAAATGTGACCCCCTGGAATTCATTTAGAGGCTTTTCTGCCCCCCACCCCCTCCAATTTTTAAAATACAGGTCTCACACCCTTTTGATCCAACTCAACTTCTTTGCACGATCTCTCAGTTTGTTCCTCCCCCGCATTAGACTTTACTTGGTCTGTTTCCCGGATTTCTGACAGTGACATTTCCCAATCATTCTTACTTCCCCTTCATTTTCGCCACCTCTTCGCCCCCCCACGCTGGCAATTAATCGGGCAATTGGCCTTTACTCACCCCTGACTGTTTTTAAAGAGGTTCCTTTTTGTCCCCCATCGATACTTTTACCCCTCCCGCCCTCCTTTTTCACCGCAGTTTCATTCTATCCCAAAACTTCGGGCGGGGCTTCTCAAAAAATGGTGCCTTGGGGGTCTCCTGTTTGTGTGCAGTACTTTGAAAGCGCTGCATGGGGCAGGTACCGGGACAAAAAACCCAGGCGACTCCTTGATTTTAAACAAAGGTGCGATCGCTGCCCTGTCATCCGTGACGCTAAAGACTTTCTGGCAGTTAGTCTCCCCCTCACCCCTTTCTTCTCTATGGGGCAGTCTGGAAAAAAGTACGAAAAAGAGTGGAAAAAATTCTCCCGACCCGGCTCCTTTCTGGGGTTTTCCCGGTTTTGATTAGAAACCCACAAGGGTTTCCAAGAAAAGGGAATCATCTGGTCCGATTTCTCAGGGGCTCATCTATGCCCCCCTTTTTTCCCCCAAAGTCTGCCCGAGGTTTGCACCCCTTTGGGTTTTCTTCTCTCAGAGAAAAACAGTTAATGTGCCTTTTTTCACTTCAGAACTGGAGGCAACACTCTCAGTTGTCAATATGGGCGGGCCCCCACACATTCATATTCGTATGCACAAATTACATCAGTCACTGCAGTCCTATTTCGCCTTTACAAAATTTTTTTGGTACAAGGGGTTCTTCCACAGCTGTGGAAAACCCCCCATTTTCTCCCCTTTTTGCAAACCAGGCAATACGGGACATGAAACCTCCCATACGTCCCATTGCTCTTACCCGTGCAGTTTGCAAAGAATGAACGTCTATTAAAAAAGATGTTTGGTGGTATTTAGAGACACACAACAGTCTCTCCCTCGTTTAATATGGCTTTCGTAAGGACGTTCTACATAGACCCCTTTCGGGCTTGGGTACGATGTTCGTAAAGCCTTTTCGAATAACCTCATTATTGCCCATATTTTTTGACCTTGGAAGGGGATATGACACAAATTGGAGGGGTTTAAAATTTTAGCCCAAGCCCCCCCTTAGGCCTTTGAGGCAAACTCATCCTTCCCTTTAAAACTTTTTAACTGACGGCATTTCCGGTTTCGGGTTTTA